TTGTATCCGGATACAACGTTTTAGTATCGATACTTTTTTGAGTATCGATACTTTTGACAACCCTACTACATCTTGAACCATTTGTCACTTTGGAACTACAAACCTCTGTGTGTTTATTTGGATTTTATGTGGTGGACCAAAACAAAGCAGCATGACTAAAGTGATCGGAACAGAAAATCATATTTTTTTTCTAAACCTGAGCCTGTAGCGCACACATATGCTACTGCTACAGAATCCCCACAAATTCAAACCCATGAAACATTAAAGTCATGATTTATCCTCTTTCTCTCCTTATCTGTCTGGTGTAAACTCACCTCGGCCGGCTGAAAGCTAGAAATAAATAGTCAAGCAGATTGATTAACTTTCTGACCATTTGTGGGCACGTTAAAGTCGTAGGGAAATCATATTTAAATGTCAAATCAGTCTGGCTTAAACATGTATATAAATGTACTCTTTATCAGACCACAGTCTCCCCCAAAATATGGAAAATTTATATATATATTAAAAAGAATACTGTCTTAAATGTATTTTTTTTCTTCCGTTATCTTATGCAGGCCAGTTAGTTCTACATCAACCTGACACCTAATTTCGGCCAATCACATATCAAAGGTCATCTGTCACTTAAATTTTTTGGTTAATGGCATCTTGATTCATATGTCACAGCTAATATACGCAACGGTTGAAATAAGAAATAAGAATAATTTCCTTTCCCATTGAGTTCCGTCCCAGTATTCACGGGATGGACGTCTGTGTCTCAGCAGGCGTAGAGCTAACAGAACTGACAGCGTTGCGAGGCAAGGGCTCAAACATGTACGGCTGGAAGCCTTCTACACCAAACCAAGCTTCTGCCGCCCTGGCGTCCTCTTCCACAACATCTTCATCCCGCTTTCCTCCTCTAAATAAAAAATGTATGACGGAGGAGTCTCATCCACGACCTCCGACACTAAACTCTCCTCCTCTTGCATGTTTCCTCTGTCCATAGCGTTCCTTGACAGCGTCGTTTCTAAGTCACCAATTTAGTGCTACTTGGTCCCAATGGAATTTCCCATTGGGAACCTACTAGCACTAAGTTGCTAACTGGTTAGCAAGATGCTTCTGAGACACCAGCCACAATCAAAATGCTTGCGAACCTTCCGCCACAACAATCCCGCCCCCTTAAAAATCAACCAATCACATTCACTTTATTTACCCGTGTAAAGTCGACACCACTCAGGAGAATTCGGAAATGTAACGGTTAGAAAAGCCGCTTTCCTACGACTTTTACAGCACCAACCTTTCATTCTAAGTTCTGATGGACCACCCTACGTTCCATAATAGGAACTTTTTAAAACACAAACCAATATAGAACAGTTTCCTCAGAGTTCCTCAGAGTAAAAAATCTTCTTTTGCAAAGGGCTTCGTCTAATCAATGACGTTTACTGATGCTTGGGAAATCACTGTAAAATGGGAAACAGGAATCCTCCAAAACAGCTGCCTGTAACAGGTGTTCTATCTAAAAAAACAAAAAAAACAAACCCTAAACAGAAATCAGCTGGTAGAGCGTCCCACTCCCAGAACAGCGCAGTAATGAACCTCAGGATCCATCCGTCTGTCGGACTTGATGGGTTGAGCTGCAGCATTTAACTCCAGCCTCGGTCTCTGTGCAGATAATCGGCGCCCCACCTGTTTATTAGATAAAGTCAGCTATCAGCAGAGCTTCAGCAGATAACCTTCTCTCCCATGTTTTCGCTGGCCTCCAGGCATTAAAGGGGAGTTTGTTGTTGTTTCAGAGCTGTCTTGTATCAAACTCTTGGTGGACCTGTTTGCTGTTAGATGTGAGCTTTTAGC